TCGTCATCTAGAAGCATTTGCATTGCTTGCTGGAACATATTCAACGATTCTGCCAACCTTTTTGAAGTTAGCGTTTGTTGATGTTCTTCTTCGTCGCCGTCTTCAATGGGACTGTGTTCTGTTAATTGTTGCAGATCTTTGTTGGTGAGCTCTTCTGTATGGGATGCCAGGACATCCTCAATATCCTCTGATTCCAGCTCATCAAAACCTGCCTGTCTAGCCAAGCTGAGGATATCCCTATTCACAGCTGGGACTAAGTCCGTGAATCTCATAAAACTGTTGACGCACTCGGGCTACAGTTTACGCCACACACCATTCAGGCAACTTTCTGAAACCTCTTCCCATAACTTGTCAATGTTGTCAATTGCATGAAGAATGTCGAAGCCGTGCCAATATTCTTGGATCGTTGGTTTATTTTCTCCGTCTGTAGCCTTGAGCAGCTGGGCCATGGTACGCCGTAAATAATAAGCCTTGAATGCGGTGAGGACGTCTCTGTCCATAGGCTGTATCAGTGCTGTCATGTTGGGAGGCAGGAATACAACTTTTACATTGTCGTGCAAGTCGTCGAGATTGGGAGCATTGTCAAGGATCAGAAGAATTTTGAAGTTAAGGTTCTCCTTGGCACAGTATTCCTTCAGTGCAGGGACGGCGTACACATTTAACCACTGGCTAAATATGGCGCCGGTTATTCATGCCATTTTGTTTGCCTCGTAAATGACAGGAAGGTGATCCCTAGAGTAACCTTTCAGGGCCCGTGGGCTGGCAATGCTAGAAATCAGCACAGGATTCAGCTTGAAGTCACAAGCAGCGTCTGTGCCAAGCAGGAGCGTCAAGAGGTCTTTTGATGCTTTAAAACCTGGCGCTCTTTTCTCCTCCTTAGAAATATAGGTCCTCTCAGGCATCCTCTTCCAAAAGAGACCAGTCTCATCCACATTGAAGACTTGCTTCGGTAAGTAGCCTCCTTGCTGGATAATCCATTTGAATTCTGGTGGGAATGTCTCAGCAGCGGCCGTATCTGAACTGGCAGCTTCACCAGTCATCTTAATATTGTGGAAGTTATAATGATGCTTAAATCGTTGAAACCATCCCCGGCTGGCAGTCAAGGTCTCTTCCTTCGATCCCTCACCCTCATATGCCTTTAAGTTGTCAAACAGGGATCTGGCCTTACGCTGGATAACCATAAGGCTCACAGGGGCATTGAGTTGATTCTGGTCCTCTATCCACAATGCCAGGATCTTTTTCACATTCTCTATCACAGTCCTTCTAGTATGAGTCATCTTAGTAGCACTCAGAGAAGAACCTTCCAGCACTAACCTTAATCTTGTCAGCGTTGGTCTGGATAGTACGCACCGTTGTGGGGGTTAGACCAAGCACAGCGGCTATGTCCACAGCACGTTTCCCTTTTTCAAATCGGATTAATACATCCATTTTCGTAGCAAGGGTAATGGTCTTACATTACCTCTTCACTAAACTAGCATCAGTAGCACTTGGCGGGCGCTTGGAAGCCATTTCGAATGGTTAGAGTACAGTTTTAGAGCAAAAACACCTTAGCACGCACGAATGATGTGAAGTCGTAAGAGAGACTGGATTGGCGTCGCTTGGGGACGCTGTGACGTTCCGTGAGTGAGGGCAACGTGCCGAGCCGAGAGAGTGTAGCGCGGACAGACAAGATGGGTGATGGGCCGTAGAAAGTAGTCCGTGACGACGCAAAACAACGTAGTATCGGATCACCGGGACGTTGAACAAATTTTTGGTCTCTAATGTTCAGCGATGTAGTACTGAAATAACATTAAGCGGGACGACGTTAAGCGAGGACTTACTGTACATGTAATTACTAAATCTAAAAAGGTAACACTTACCAGCACTGCAGGCAAAGAATGAAGCATCACAGGTGACAGATGTATGGTTGGTGACACAGATGTATGGTTGGTGACACAGAGGCATGGTAGGTGACACAGAGGAATAGTAGGTGATGCAGGTGGCCAGATATGTAGAGATTCTTACAGATAATTTTATATATCTCGGCATTTCCAGAGTTATACTATAATACATTCCGAGACCATATTCATGCCAAGTTACTGTATATGAAATTCCGAGTTATCAAATGCCGAATTATTGAGGGTTTACAGTAAGTACTTTCTGTTTAATATGGCAGAGCTGCAAGGGGTGGAGTTAGCTAGAAAGTTAGGTAAGTTAAGTAGGTTTCCTAGGGGTAAAGATTTGTTTTAGTTACACCATGGAAACTACTAACAAAAATAGGTTTTCCTAGAGTATTTTGTGGTTTCAAATGAATCTGACCTTCATTTCCTTTGTAAACGAGTCATTTTTTTCTAGAAAACGTAACTAACTTCCTAGCTGGGGGCGGAGATCCCCCGCCATATTAAAAAGAGTACAGTACTTATTTTGATATCTGGTACTAACGAATGCAACATTTTTGAAGCGTCAGTGTAATGTTACTTTTTTGTGGATGTGTGAGTACGCTCTGACCAAGTGGGTCGGTTGTAAATAGAGTATAGTAGATGACAACATGCCCTGACAATGACAGATACCTAATGTTTGAGGGCAAATATATTAAAAACTAAGGATTTGCACAAGGAACATCACCCCTGTACTGTACTCTTAAATAGTGATTCATAATTCAAAAGATAACATATTTAGGGTAGTCAAAAACACTAGAAGAGGAATGGGCAAACGACGAATATTAACCAGTAAGCTATCAAAAACAACAAAATACTTGAAAAATATAAATTTGCGATGGAAAAGCAATACATTAAAGCATTTTTCTTTCTTTTTTGTTCTTTCTCCCTATATAAATAGAAATCTGAAGTTCTGTGGTGTAACTAAAATTAATCTTAACCAATGTAGCTTCTTTTAAAATACTTTTTTCAGTGACAAGAATATGTGAGAAAAATGAACGAAATTGAACAACTCCTTTTGGTGGTAGCGATGTTCTTTTACTTTCATGGATGATAGAGTGGTTGTAACTCTTGACAGGTGCTGCCATGCACAGGCCAACCAGCCTATTGCAGACTCCTTATTTTCTTAGGTTCAGTCGGTCACATCTGTTACGCACTGTTGGCAAGTATTGGCTCCTGAATGTATCTGAACCTACTCCAGTGTTAGTAAAAGAGCTCACAGTCAGTGCCCTCACAGACTTCTGGATTTGTGGGTTCTTCAACCTTGAGCTGTGACCACTAATGGAGCAGGGTCCACCAACTCCAGGTATGGACACTCGATTGAGTAGTGCCCGCCGGGATGTTTGTAAACTTGAATTAGGTCATCCCTTCCCCGTCTGTAGTATAAGCTCGGCAGTTGCAGGCGTCCTAATCTTTGTGGGTAACTGAGGTGCCATAGTGAAAATTGTTATGAGGGACGGACTCTTTAGATATCTGAACGACCTTCATATATGACCTACTAGTTTAGTTGCTTGATTCACTTTGTTTTCACAATGGCTCAAGAACTTCAGTTCATTGTCAATATACGTAAACACCCAGGTCCTTTTCACTTTCGGCCTCTATTAATGTAGTTTCTTCGTCCAATTGGGCCATTTGATGCACCTCCTTACTGTTGGCACAAACTTCGTGACAATGAATCTTAGCAGTCATTTCTTCGACCACTCTTGGTGCTGACAGATATTTGGTTTTTAATTTCCCTGAATAACTTGGCATCATAAAAGAATTTCAATTCTTGAAATATGATGTGGTGTTCTCGAGGTAAGAAAGAAGTTGTTGAATGTAATATTATTCATGAATAGTTGGTTTAGGTGCACATGAATCTTTTAGTATTACTACACCTTTTTATCACCACTGTTAAAATAAGACCATGGCCTCCATACAGCTAAAAAAAAAATTGTTTTTTTCTTCCTCCCTAATTGGGTTTGCAGTTTATGTATTATTACAAATATTTCAGAGGTTAATATATAGGACTAACCCGCGGACGAGTTAATTTTATTAGTTTATTTTCTTACATTATTTTCATCAGTGAGTTCTGATATGCTAATCATTTATTGTGGAAATTGTTCTTTTCATAGATAATTAGGCACCTCGATGCTCACTAATTTGTCTTTCGGGCGGTAATGAGGTCGCGCTCTGCTAAGGGGCTTTTCCCGGGCCAGGGGCAGTTTGTTTTTCAGTATGTCGTGTGAAGGTTGTCGCCGATCTTACATGGACATACTTTGTCAATTTTGGGGTAAAGACAACGAGACCCTTCAATTGTTTAAAGATCATGGCATTGTTCCTTTACATAGAGACTGTTTATTTTCTTACATTATTTTCATCAGTGAGTTCTGATATGATAATCGTTTATTGTGGAACCCGCCAACACAATAAATCACTCTGCTGCCCGGGGTGCATAGAGCCGATGTGGCTGTATCATCTCACATCCAGAAAATGCCTTCAATTTCACCATATCATAGGTAAGGTTAGGTAGGTTTGTTTGGTTAGGTCTGTTTTTCATACCTACAAATGATAAGTAACGTTATTTTTAAAATATCCATTTTTAACATATTTCCACAAACTACAAAGGTATCCACTATAATATAACAGTGAAAATCCAGAGTTTTAATAATTGTTTTCAATCAATTTCGCCCGCAGGTTACTCCTATAAAATTACAATTTCAGATTAATTATGATAAACATTTAACAGGGAGTTGAAGCTCATCTGAAATTCTAAACTAAAAACACACAAAAAAAAATCAATAAAACTGGAAAGTTTACAATCGAAATTCATGGTACTAAGGGTTGGCTTCTTTACCTCATATTTACCTCAGTTTCATCAATATCTTTTACCAAACATTCACTGTTATCACTTAAAAACACGTACATATTATACTAACCACAGGAGTACATCTCCTCAAACACAAGTTATATACTTGAAAATAATTATATAATTTAAGCGTCAGCAATAACACAACAATCAACTGGATTAAATATCAACTGTCGCCTTTATTAAACTAGGAGCGTCTCCCAGCTCCCTCCTCTACCATGGCGTCTCCCCCTCACCTTTAATAAAATACAGTTGTAGTTTTCAATCACTACAGTAACAATAATGGCCTTATTCACAGCTGCGGAGGAGTGGAGGAGCTGGGTCACCACATCTCCTCCATGGTGTTGTCGTTTTCGTCCTTGTGGTGTATCAGCGGCGTGACGTGCTCCCCTTCACCACTCTATACTCAAACAACACCTCGGGAATGCCTTTATACCCGCCATAATGACTACTTGATTCTCTTTTTATAATGTGAACAATTGATTAATCCGAATGTATGCTTGATGTGCTTGCATATTTAATCAATGGATGCTGATACTTTTTTCTTTTTTTTTAATACTTACTGGGTGATTAGTGGAATATTAGAGCTTATTTTTTTAATGAGAACAATTGATAGTCCTAATGTATCTTTGATGTGCTTGCATACTTAATCAATGGATTCCGATTCTAATTTTCCCTTCTTACTGGTCGGTTGGTGAAATTTTATAATTATTTTTCACTGCGAAATATAGTAAGATTTTTTTATGATGCGAATACAGTAACTGATTAATCAAAATGTATGCTTGATATGCTGGATTTCTATTCTGATTTATTTTTTTCTTTAGATCCGACTGGCCGGGTGGTGGAATATCGTATTATCTTTTTCTTTTTCTCCAAATAAAATACTGAGGGTAAACCACTGTGGTGTAGTCATTAATTTCCAAAGCTAACCAGGAGTTTTAAAGATAGGTCAGACGGAAAAGGCCAGACAGATAGCTAATAATAATTTCGATTTATTCTTTTCTGTCTGGTTAATATATCTCTTTTACTTTTTATGAATGTCTGCTGAGAGTACATCACTGGATTAAAGTTTATTAATCTCGAAAGGTGAAACAGAACTTTACAGGCTTGCTAACACAGGAAAGGCCAAGCACACTCCACAAGCTGTGATCTCGCGCATGGCTCCATCATCCCCCTTTATCCCCCTTTGACTGTGGATTTTGTATCATATGACCTTACCCTAGCAGTTAGGGGGTGGCACATTATGACGCTCCACGTAATGTCTAAATTCTTAAAGAAAAAACACATGCATTTGATTGGATATTTTTTTATGAAATGGTTTAAAGTTGAAAGGAAAGCAACATTGATAGACGAGAAGGAATTCAGTGGGAAATTTAAACTGTCGGGCAACCGCCTACCTAACTAAGATAGTTCGTCTGTAAAATCGCAGTACATATTTACACACATTTCGGTATGTACACAGACAATGAAAATCTACAATGTACACGTATAGACCGAGCAGGTACAGCCAATGTACAGTCAGTGTAGGTACTCGGCTGTAAAGTAATTCGACTAAGAATAGCCAATAAAACCTGCTGATGATTATTTACACACACACACACACACACACACATTAAGTTATTTCAGCATGGACTGTACGTACAGTATAGCACATACAGATTACAGGTACATGTATATAAACAATGGTAAGCAGCAAAACGTACACCTTCACAACTCGCGAAAGCCAGTAAAAGCGTTTACCAATTACGTTCACCTTGTAACAAAGGCCTTGATGCCTCATGTAACAGCACAGAATTATCGATCATAAAGTCTCCATAGATTACTCTACATACTTTACCTCCAATAGATAAATATCCTCTCATTGGTGACTGTTTTTCTACTTTAAAGCTGTAAAATGTTTTGTCGATTGCGGGTGTAGATTCATGAAAATTTTGGTCGTTAATTATGTCCACGAACTTGTGCTGAGTAAAGGTAACAATTAAACGTCGAGTTTCAATGTAATTATGCAAATTTTGTACCACTAACTAGTACTAAGTGAACGTACTTAAGGCCGCAATGTGTTTTTGTGATCACTTTGGATGATAATTTTGTGCTGTAGATAAAGGCAATCGACTAGATGCGCTCTTATATCTATAAACAACAAAGGAAATTTAAAGCAGTACCTTTTGGGAGTCTTTACTTAATCCACTGTGCATTCATGTATCTAATTACTGGAATATAAAGAATAGCATACAAAGGATAGGGGGATCAAATATTTATCATAAAAAAATTCATCCTGTAGCTTGTTTTTATGACTAATGGCTGTGACTTATTACTCAGCCTGAGTCGTTCTCACTGTATGTCTCAGCTCTCTCATGTCTTTATAATGCCGCGTACACACCGAGATACTTTGTTAAGCAACATTGTTTCTGGACTGTCTCGCAACAGCCCAGAAACACGATTTCGGACGTTTCTTGTCACAATACAAAGTTGGTCAATCTGGACGCATTTGGTAACACGGAGTCAGTTGACATTCAGCTTGTGTTCCGTGAGGTGGGTTTGCTGACACTATGGAACTACATGCATTATTGTTTGCTTTGTAAGCAGTATACACGTAGTTATATTTTATTTTCAGCATCATGTGGACTGTTTTGACTCTTTGAAGGTATACATCCAGGCTTGTAAATGAGTCCCCACTGGCAAGATACCTTAATGTTACTGCCAGGCGTATTTTGGCAGGGATTGAGGCTCGTTAGTTTGTATTTTGCTTTGTGATTCTGGGCTCAACCCTTTTCAGTAATATTTCAAAATCCTAAGCTGTTCTTATAAAGTTTCTAAATCCAGCTGCATATTCTAGTTTCAGGCCTGTCATTAGTTTTCTCCATTGTTGTTCCTTCATTAGAATTTTTTTTCATCCACCATCATTTAGGTCTTTTCCTTGCTCTCCCCCTTCTTTCTTCCAAGGAAATAACAACACAGGCACCCGCTACAGCAGCCACTTCTGCATCCACCGACATGACGACGTCGACTCGACTGCTCTTCCCGCCAATTCATCGCTATACTTGGTCTGGACGTGCACAATGTTTCTAAACTGTCTCGCGACTGTTGTGAAACAATTGCGAGACAGTCCAGCAACAAAGTTTACTGATTGCTTCTGGACTGTTTAGCAACAGTCGCTAGACAGTCCAGAAACAATGTTGTCGTGTCCCCCAAGTGTTTCTGGACTGTCGCGACTGTTTCAGGATTGTCTCCCAAGAGTCCAGAAACATTGTTGTGCTACTGTTTCTAGACAATGTATCTAGGTGTGTACGAGGCTTCAGGATCACAAGAATATTTGCTGCCCAAACTATTTCCCATGGAGAAACTATTTTGTCGCTATTAGTGTTAAGGGGGCCAATGTACGCTTATAGAAAGGCGAAAAAAGTTGATCCATATTTTCTTGGCAATTTCGTAGAAAAATAGATTTTGAGATCGCCGCTATGCGAACAACGGCGTTAACAGCGTTCATTGTCTACAATGGCGAACAATGGTTTTGTTCGTTCCAATGACCGCGATAAATTATTTAAATTTATTTTGAACATAAGAGATGTAGTGTACAAAACTCCCACAAATAACATGAACCTTATAAATGCATTCGTGTTCGTGAATGAGACAAACGTGAAGACGCCGTGGTAAAAGACCAAACTTTAGCTGAAAACTAGGAGAGGGTATGGAAAACGAAGTGTTCGATTAACTTTTTGCGAAAATAGCGAGTAAACGGAAGGGGAACCATAACATCATTCTTCCTAGTTAAACCAGAGATAAATATTTGACCCCAGATATTTTTAAATTTAAAGCCATATCATTCGCAGTAGATATGTATGCACGTATGTAGTGTATACGGGTCACACTCATTTTCATTACCGTATAGGCTAGTTGAATTCTTTGGCGGGTTATGTCCATTGTGCCCGATATCAGCTGCTCAAGCAAAAGGACAAGGAAGGCCACAAATTAAAAAAAAAAAGGGGGAAGGCCAAGCAAGAACTGCTGTTTGTGGACTCAGTATTACAGTGTGACAGTTAAAGTTCTGTATTGTTAGTACGTTCCCCTTATTTGAATTGTGCTAAATTCCAGCTTATTTTTTTAGCTGAGTGTGAGTATTTACTTGTATATATCTAATTTTCAATACAATACATTGTAAAAAAAAAATACACTTTTGGGGGAGGGGTTCTTGAAAAAGTGTACTCTTTGTACATCTGTGAAAATGTTGACAGGGTGGTTAGGTTAGGTTAAGTTAGGGTAATTAATCATCTGGTTAAAGAGGCCGAGGGGCGAATATTCAGGTGATACCTTGATACTCTACAGTTCACCAGAAAAAGTAAATGTGAAATAACAATCAATAAGGACAACGTAATGTACAGTGCTGTTTAAGTACACGAAGATAACAGCTTTATCACAAAAGATATGTAAATCAGTGAATATATTCAATACACTATAACAGCCATGGAGTGTATCTTATCTTTTTATTGTAGATTAATTAGTGTATGCATGTATCTAGAATACGTGCTTAAAGACCTTAATTGTTAAAACGTAGTGATATATTTGGGTAGTAGGCAGCTATCAAACAGGGAGGTACTACCGCCTGGGAAGATACTGGAAGCATAACATGTTGTCTAATGGTAGACCCTGCTGCCAGATGACACCACAAAAATTGTGACCAAGTCCCAGGTTGCTGATCTGACTTTCCACCTCATTTACACACAATTGCAGGGTCTCAATCGTTTCTCTTACTTTGACAACACAACATACATATATCGTTTTTCATTATTATCATTATTATTATATTTTTATTATTTTTATTTATTTTTATTTATATAAGATTTTATTATTATTATTATTATTATTATTATTATTATTATTATTATTATTATTATTATTATTATTATTATTATTATTATTTTATTTTTTTTTATTTTTTATTTATTTTTTTTTTCGTCCCCAGGCCCTGATGTGGGTCTTTGACCCGTGCCCGGGTGGAATAATCCCATAAAAAAAAATCAGCAACACGACAAGATGCAAGTACTGTATGAGGTAGTAGATTAGTACACTGATGTCCGTAACGTAGCACGTCTTCTCTATCATCTTACTACTTTTTATGTTTTTAGCAGCTTATTAGCCAATCGTCCTTTTCTGTCCATTTTCAATGTTGCAGGTACAGTACTTACAGTACAGTATCTGAACTGTCAGTGTTGGTCTAGCCGGGACTGTTGGCAGGGACTGGGCATGTACAGGTTTTTAAATGTGCCTGAACTTGAGCCAGATGCTGTCACACTGTTATCAGGTCAATTTATTTATTTCAATTGAGAGGATTGATTTTAGACAAGATTCAACTGTCACTCAATGAGGATGCAGAGGCAACGCCCGAATCCAGTGTCATCCTAAGTAGTGAAATATTGAATACAAATTAACATGGTGCATATCATATGTACACCACGATCAAGAAGACCACTGCAGAGAAGGGTATAGGGGTAGTCATCGATGATAAGCTGACGTTCTCTGACCATCTAGCTGAGAAAATCAACAAGGCTAATAAAATAGTGGGCATTATTAGAAGAAATTTTGTTCATTTGGATGCACCTATATTCAAGGCTCTGTACACTGTTCTGGTTAGGCCACACCTTGAGTATGCTAATCAAATTTGGTGCCCATATCTCATTAAGGATATAGAAGCAGTAGAGAATGTACAGAGGAGTGCTACCAAATTAGTACCACAGATCAAGGATTTATCTTATGAGGAAAGACTAAGGAAATTACAGTTACCGACACTGGCTTACAGAAGATCTAGTGGGGACCAAGTGGAAACATACAAGATAGTGTGTGGCATATATGACCAGGCATGTACAGCAGGAATGTTCCAGATGAGGGAGGATGACACTACCTGGGGGAACACAAAGATCTACAAAACAAGAGCGAGGCTAAATTATAGGGCACAAATATTCGCCACACGCAGCCACCGTCTGAGTAGAGACGAGGCTATTGAGCTGGAGTCACAGACGTGAGCCTCTTCCAGAAGATCATCTGTGAGTATCTGTGAGTATGGTTTAAAATAGTAACCGAGTCTGGACGACCATATCAGGCCGGTGTCAACAACAAATATACAATAATGTTGCTCTATCGGAATATTATTAACAATTAGAGGATATTTTACCGAACATAATGTGACTAACCTACCGTAACCTTTACCTAACATAATTTACCGGACCTGATCTTTACAGTTGCAGGTATCTAGTCCATTGCCTAAGACAAGTCAAAGAAGGTCATAGAAAATGTTTGATGGGAAACTATGATAGTCCCCGAGCATTTTTTTTTGTGTTGATGTTTCATATATTATTTAACTCTTAATTTGGAAGCTATGATATCTAACTTCGTAATGTACATAGTAAAATCTAGTCATGTGAGAATGCACAGAACGATGACTGTAACTGTTACTGTCATAAATTAGTTTGGCAATTAGAAATGAGTGTACAGTCTGGTTAGGTTTGGCTCGCTTGATTTGGTTAATGATAGGTGAGATTAGTTTAGGGAACTTTAGGCTGATGTTATCTGCCGTCAGAGCTAAACCTGCAACTAATTTTTAAAAGCTCGTACGTTAAATATTCCTAGTAAGTGAAGTCTTAATAATGCATATAATATCTCTTGTACAAAAAGAACGTTCGAAATGGGGCAAAAATATACCGTTATTCTACATTAATGAGATACGTTCACTTATCACTTAGGTGAAAGACGCTAGCTATAGTCAACACAAAACCAATGTGCATAATCTTTAATAATTTACTATCTGGTGCAAAAGAGTATATATATATATATATATATATATATATATATATATATATATATATATATATATATATATATATATATATATATATATATATATATATATATATATATATATATATATATATATATATATATATATATATATATATATATATATATATATATACTGATAACCACAAGGAAAAAGAAAACACGAAGTGTTCATCAGCATATACCTGGATCACGCGCACCTAGTGATTTATTTGATATATATATATATATATATATATATATATATATATATATATATATATATATATATATATATATATATATATATATATATATATATATATATATATATATATATATATATATATATATATATATATATATATATATATATATATATATATATATATATATATATATATTAGATTCAACATCTACAGTATATAATTATCTATACTACACCAACCACAGTTATCATTTGTACATAAAACAGATTGTCGAAGAATTAACCCACTGGTCGCGTTAAGTCGCACGAGAAAGTAAAATATCCCTTTCGAGGGAGAACAACTTTCTATCAGTGAGGTCAGCAAAGACAGAAGACCACTAACTGAATACTAACCAAAAATTATCACTAAGAGTACCAGCAACATTATTTCCGGGGTTGTATTTTTCTGAAAAATATGTCACATAAGTAATTTGTGCGTAATTTTCTGTACTTCTACTTTAATCTACACCTATACCTGTTGTTTCTCGGCGATTAACATAAAATACAACATATTAAACATTCAGTAAGGCACAGTGCACTGACTAGTTATACTATATGACTTTTTGTACTGTAGTTTGTACCTATAATGTTAGATAGTTACATCAATAAAATGAACATCATCGCCATTAAAATACACAACAAGGGTTAATTTGTATTTGTGTACCTGTACTTTTACCTACACCTGCATCTGTACTTCCTCGGTAAACAGAAATAATTAACCACCATTATTAAGGTACATATGACAACTAGTCTCATTGCATATACTATCACCAACGCATCACAAAAACCATCAACAGGTAACTGGGATGAAGCAATGAAGCACAGTGACCCCCTTCTCACTCCTAGAGGTCAGGATGAAGGGTGGTGACCCCCTTCTCACTTCCAGAGGTCAGGATGTAGTGTGGTGACCCCCTTCTCACTTCCGGAGGTCAGGGTGAAGGGTGGTGACCCCCTTCTCACTTCCGGAGGTCAGGGTGAAGGGTGGTGACCCCCTTCTCACTTCCGGAGGTCAGGATGTAGCGTGGTCATCACCCTTCTCACTCCCAGAGGTCAGGATTAATCCTCAAGATGACCCCCAGACGGCTGTAGTGGGTCAGGCGAGAGTAGAAGGTGAGGCCAGTCGCCACCTCTACGTCCCTGACCTTGGCGCTGTACATCTGTGTGAAGCGGCGGTCAGTCTGTGAGGGAGAGACGTTGATGACCAGGTGAAAGTTTCTGTTTAAGATGTATTTACAAAGGGTATGCGTGGAAAATAAATACTAATACTTGTACATACATATATACACGTTTACGCATAAGTCCATTCACATGCTAATACACACACGTTTATATTCATACATAAACACACATACACACACACACACACTATCTCATTACCACCGTCACTAGGTTGCGTTCAGTTGCGCACTATACGACACCGCAATCAATCCAGCCAATACGACTTCTGATCGCGTTAAGAACAACCCTCATTCCAACCACAGCAAGAATCATTAGCGAATAGTATATAACCTGTGTGTTTACTCCTATTTGTACGGTCCTGTACTTAAAGTTTTTGGTATATGGCTCAAGTTACATGTATCAGTTATGTCTTTTGTTTATTTTTATCTTATGGCTGTTTTGGTGTACACTTAAACGTTCTCTTATTGTTATTATTATTATTATTATTATTATTGTTATTATTATTATTATTATTATTATTATTATTATTATTATTATTATTATTATTATTATTATTATTATTATTATTATTATTATTATTATTATTATTATTGTTATTATTATTATTATTATTATTATTATTATTATTATTATTATTATTATTATTATTATTATTATTATTATTATTATTATTATTATTATTATTATTATTATTATTATTATTATTATTATTATTATTATTATTATTATTATTATTATTATTATTATTATTATTATTTTTTTTTTTTTTTATTATTATTATTATTATTATTATTATTATTATTATTATTGTTATTATTATTATTATTATTATTATTATTATTATTATTATTATTATTATTATTATTATTATTATTATTATTATTATTATTATTTCTGTCGTTTAATGTCACGATCATGATTCAGTTTCTTATTCTTCTCACTCAACATAAAATACCCCCCCCCCCTCTCCTTACCAGGCAGTTGATGGATGGCAGCAGCTGGGGGAAGATGAACGCCTGGGCGTCTACACGCAGGTGGCCACACTGGTCAAGCGAGGTCACCGGGTCAAGACACCTGGTCACCACGGCGAAAATGTCCGTCGGTATTGCTGGCACGCTGTTGGGACGACCAGAACAAGGTGAGGATACAAGCGGAATACAGACATATACTGTAACCTCTGGCGACAAAAATACAGCAACGTACATTTTATACAGTAGAGTCTGTGTGTAGTTTCGACGCCATTTTATCCCATTAGGGTTAATCATACTTGATAAGTAAATAGATGGCAGAATTAATGAAAATCTACTTATGATTCTTTTCGTTCTTATTAACAGCTGTTTGTAAGTAGATTTATGGGATCACTTGAAGCTTAGTCCCCCCAGCTTATTTCACTTGCTGAAACACATTTGCGCAACCTGGGTGATTATGATAGCTCAGGTAAGGTACGGATTGACTAGCATTAGGTTAGGTTTGGTTAATCTTAAGGTAAAATTAAGCTGGGAGATAATCTTAGGGTGATCCGATTTATGTATTAGTCGAGTATAGTATACAGTACCTGAGAGAGGGCAGTTCATCGTGCTTGGAGTCGTGGTCAGCGTCGAACACGGGTCCTGACACCACGTTGAGGACGCCGTATTTCTTGTACCAGCTGGGAAACAAGTTCCACAGTAGATAGTTCCATCTGTGCATTAGCTGTTCGCTCATGACCAGGGCGTTAGTTATCATGTAGGGTACCTGACGCAGGCTGGTGAGGTTAGAGCCGCCGTCGCCCACATACCCTGTCCAGGGAGTGACGTGTGAGTGATGCTTAACACTACTATTACTGCTGTTTTCATATTATCAATAATAATGGTAATAATATTATTATTAATAGTAATAGTGGTACTACTACTACTACTACTACTACTACTACTACTAATAATAATAATAATAATAATAATAATAATTATAATAACTTTAAGACTAACAGGAATAAATATCATCACAAATATTTCTAAGCGACATTAACGTTCAAATTGTTAACGTCCCTGTCTTTATTTATTTATTTAATCAATAATAAGAAAAATATAACCTTTGTTAGTTTTCAAAACATTCGGTCACTCACTGTAGGGGAAGAGTGGTGCCATGGTAAGATTGTTGGTGTGATTGAAGGTACAGGGGGGCGAGTCTCTGGGTTGAAGGCGAGGATCACTGGACCACGACGCGGGTTCAATGTGTAATGGAATCTCGTTCACTGTGAAGCTGGTCCACAGTGGTACCTTCAGCGCCCGCGAGTACCCTGCATCACGAGGGACTAGTGTTAGGTGACTATTGCTGCGACGACTGCTGCTACTACTATTGTTGCTACTGATACTACAGTTGCTATTACTTTTATTGATACTACTATTGCTACCGCTATTACCACTACTACAGAGGCTACTACTGCTAATAACAATCAGTAACAACAATACTCTACTGATGAAACAAATAATGGACCACAATACTTCTCCCCAAAAGCTGTCCCTGCCACGTGTGTTACCTGAGAGGTGTGTGTGGTGGTGGAGGAGGGCGAGGCGGGAGGAGGCGGACCAGATAGAGAAAGGAACCCCCCATGGTGCATGTCGTGTCTCTGCTTCCTTCTGTTGCTCTGCCGTCAGTGCCAGTGCCGAGTGCCAAGCCTAGCAGGGTAGAGAGGGGGGGGGGTTACAGCAGACTCATGCCATCTGTCAATCAGCATCATGCTTACAAACGCTCACAATGGATACATGCAGTCAGCCAATCAGCCCCACGCTTATAAGCTCTCTTATATAGGATGCCAGATATGGAAATCAAGAAATTATTAATCTTACCGTAGAGGGGATCAGGTCACGCTTACAACTGATCGTGAAGTCCCGTGACTTAGTGGCGTCCTTGGAGTAACTCAGCGTTGGGGGTTTGACCTGTTAGAAGAAAGGAAGAAATAGGAGAAAGGATTAGGTTAGGTCAAGACGTTCGCTGCTAGGAGTGTGATGGTTTGAAAATTTATAATATATTTTGCACTATTTTGCACCTTACCAATGAAAACAGAAAGACCCTAAATATTGGTATTTATCCCAAGAACTGTGCGGGGTTCCTGTAAGACGTGAATACATGTTATCCTTTAAGGAGGTAGTCGATAACGTCACGTGCCAGGTAGGGGAGTACTTACCTGCTGGGGGAGGAGGGCTGGTCAGTAGGTGATGAAGGTTCTCCCCAGGTGCCAAGTGAGGGCGTACTCACCTGCTGACTGGGGTTAGGTTATGATGAAGGTTTTCTCAAGGTGCAAGGTGGTTGGGGGAGGGGAGTACTCACCTGCTGAGGGGTGTATTTTAGCGGGGGAGGGAGTATGGACAACAGGTGATGGAGGGCGCCCCAGGTGCCGTTGTTATGGGCAGGGGTGACGTTGGTGAGAAAACACATCAGGTTGTACAGTTCGACGTTCTGGAAGGCCTCTACCTCCACTCCTTGCTGGAAGTCTGGAGCCCCCGGGTGGAGGAGAGGGTGGCGGTCTTTGTGAGGGACCAATGGTGGGTGGGGATGAGAGGTCTTTGTGAGGGACCAATGGTGGGTGGGGGAGTGAGAGGTCTTTGTGAGGGACCAATGGTGGGTGGGGATGAGAGGTCTTTGTGAGGGACCAATGGTGGGTGGGGGAGTGAGAGGTCTTTGTGAGGGACCAATGGTGGGTGGGGGTGAGAGGTCTTTGTGAGGGACCGATTTTAAACTCTAGGTCATCTAACTAAGATCAAGACAACTATAAGAAATAAGGCAAAGTTAAGGTAAACTCGAGGTAAATTGTTTAATATCAAGGTATACTAAGTAAACTCTTCATAAGATCTGGACAATATCTAGGTAACTTTAGTAAGAACATGTTAAGCTCTGGGTAAACTACTTAAACTCAAGGTAAATTAGATAAGATAATGTTGCGGTTTCCGGTTACCTGTTGAAGCCGCTAATTAGAGGTAAACTGAAAGCAACATTCATAAATGTTTATGGGTTAAGTTTTCAAACCCAAATGGACTTTCTCCAATTAATATGAAAATAAACCATTGCACAATAATTAGGATATCACCGTAATTAACGTTATGAGCTGTGAGCGTTATTAAGGGACGAAGCTTGGGTATAACTAGCTTCTTAGAGCACACGTCTCTGTGGCTCAGACACAGGAAACGAACTGGCGATAGCTGGATACTTAATTGATGTCTCTGCAGTCAAGGTCTGAGGGCACAGTGGGAATACAGTGTCACATGTCTAGTTGATGACTATTCATGTCTCATTGGAAAGTTACTGTGGGTGACGTAATTATACAAACCTAATGTATGTAAACCACATTCATATAAGTATTCCTGTCTGTTAGACAGGGGCTAATACAATAAAGCTAAACAAAGTAACTAGGTAAACTAAGTAAAGAGGTAAACTAAAAGTAAACTCACATTCATCTCTGGGAAATAGTAGTCGTACCCGTGGTGACCTTTAAGTGAGGTTCTGGTCTTGGACGAATTTTCTTTTGAGTTTAGAGTGTAGAATCCGGGATCGAGATCTATTATAAGGGGTTCGATCCTCCGGTGGGTGGAATAGTGAAGCCTCTTGGGCAGGTCCTCCCGCATGAATACCCTCAGTTCCTTCCGATTGCACGACAGGAGGCGCTGAAGGTCCAAGACTGCTTCTGATTGAGGAAGTGAAGAAGAGGGTGAGGTTATTGAGAGAGAGAGAGAGAGAGAGAGAGAGAGAGAGAGAGAGAGAGAGAGGTACAGTCAAGGTCCTCAACATCATGAGGTTGACAGTGATGTCTGATGAGACAGTTGTTGTCACCGGGGCTTGAGACACCACAGTATACGACTCATCGTTATACAACATATAAAATGCAGTGTCTGTGTGTTTGTTCACTATGCACGGCTACTGTTTTAGAGGAAGAGCTGAAATTTGGAATGAGGATTGTAATAGCTTTAGTAAGTATATAGACAATAGAACTTTTTAAGTGTGGGCTATTTACATGTATTAATTGTTTAAGTAGCATTACCCGAATTAACTAGATAAACAGCAACTAAGCATAGCACTCAAGAAGTGTCAGTAGGGCAGGATTTTTGAGAGTTGGCCCCAGAGGTCGGCCTCCATCCCCAAAGGTGGAACCCATTCATAAAAAAACACATTTATTTTCTGTTTCTTTGCTATTCACGGCCATGGTTTTTTAAAATAGAAAGCTGAAATTTGGTCACGAAAGTCTAAATTGAGGCCCCCTGTTCACGAACACAGTATTTAACCTAGCACTGAAATTTGGTTTGGTATTGTTTGCATGTGCACTTAACTTTGTCCAAGGACGGACATAGAGTATGTGGCTGCTCCTCTAATTCTAGGGAGTGGGCCCGCAGGGGTTCATCCTCTCTGATGAGAGTATCTGTGTTAGTTTTGACCTTACCTCTTTTTAGGAGAAATAGTTAAAATTTGATATGGTTATGTAACTGAAGGTGTCAAAAACAAACTCGGAGAACCGGGTACCCCATGCAGCTAATATACTGTACAGTACAGTATTATATAAACAAAAGGTCATCTTAATATTCAGTGGTAACCGGGACTTCACCATCCTAGATAACCCTACTGAGAATCACCTTTTACGATTAATTTATTCCGGGGAGTTGAGTGGAGCAGTCGATGTTAGAAATGGTGGATGTGTTGTCAAGTGTGTACAGGTTTGCTGACAACATTCCCAGGACATTTTGGGAATACAGTATCTGGGGTTTATGCACCTAAAGGTTTTTTGGGGGGATTTTATTCTGACAATTTATAATGAGATGCAGCAGTCACCATTTTTTTACCAGTCACTCTTCTTTCTCTCGGTCTGTCATTCTTACTTCCTCTGTTTCTTTTCTCTCTATATCTCTGCACCTTTCTTTCTCTATCACTTTGCCTCCCCCTCTCTCACCTTGGCTCTCATTATAGGTCTTGATCCTGCTGGTTGCTCCATGAATCACTTTCTCGGCGACATCGTTGAGCTTCGGGTAGATGTTGGTCAGCTGGATGTTCTTGTCAGCTCCCGCCTGAGCCATGCCGTGGTCAGCTACCAGAATCAAGTTGACACAGTGAACGAGGTTCCTCTCTACTATGCCTGCCACTAAGTTGGCTATCTGGGTATCTACCCTCACCAGCTGCTTGTCCACCTGTGGGAGTTAATTGGAATTTATTTACCACCTGTGGGAATTAATCATAATCGTCAACCATAAGTGAAAATTTGAGTTTATTGAGGCGTCTGTGCAGTACGCATGAATACCTAGGTCACCTGAATGTCATTACTAAGGTAAACCAGATATATACCTCAGGTGAATCTGGGCCCATATTGTGTCCTTCGTGGTCAGGCTCGTTGAAGTAGAGAGCTATCCAGTGAGGTCTGTCGTCAGCAGGCAGCGACAACCACTCCAGCACCTGCAACAACAGGGACGTCGTCATTTAACCCGACAGTAGGAGATAACTTCTGAATGTTTTGTTGCACCATTTAGTTACATTATTGGATACAGGAACTTTGTCCTCTTCACTCAGCTCAACCTACTGGTGTCTGTCTCCTAACAACCAAGACAACTCAGACAAGCGCACCCATTATAAGAGAAGTAAACTAATATCATCATTTAACCCTCATGACAAAATCCTGTTGAGAGATAAGGAAATGTGCCTATCTAGCATTAATTCACAGAATCCACACTACAGGGTATATGTTGATTCCAAGCTTGAAAAGATGTCGTCAGATTTTGGTTTGTCTGAGCCACACTAGCGGGTAATCAGAGTACCCGGATATAAAAGGATTTCATTGGTCTATCTATGAGAAGCTGTCAATAGGTCACTTGGGTCAAAACTCACCTTCTGCACTCGATCCTCAAAGGGGTCACCGACACTGTAGGGAAACCAGTAGGTGGGGTGAGTCCCTTGGATGTCCGCGTCTGAACCCGGCCAAAAATAAGTGGCACTCTTCTTCCCCTGCAAATATAGATGAACCTTAACAAACATTAGGTAAATATTAATTCATGTAGTAGGAGGACTTTACACAAAACACCCCTCTCTTCCCCTACACAACACACCCCTCTCTTCCCCTACACAACACACCCTTCTCTTCCCCTACACAACACACCCCTCTCTTCCCCTACACAACACACCCCTCTCTTCCCCTACACAACACACCCCTCTCTTCCCCTACACAACACACCCCTCTCCCCTACACAACACACCCCTACACAACACACCTCTTCCCCTACACAACACACCCCTCTCTTCCCCTACACAACACACCCCTCTCTTCCCCTACACAAAACACCCCTCTTCCCCTACACAACACACCCCTCTCTTCCCCTACCTGCTTCGTCATAGTGTTCCAGATAGGTTCTCCGCCCCACCAGGTTCCATTATTCTTCTCTGTACCCCCCAGGCTGAAAGTCTTGTTGAATACCGGGTCATACATGTAATTGTCTATTATTCCGTGACTCCCTGGATACATTCCCTGTGTGTAAAAAGATGCAAAATTGTTATTATTTAGACGTCTGGTAAATTGGTAATGGGAAATATCTGAAAGAAAACTCAAAAGATGGCTGAAGCAAGTGTGAAGAATGTGAAGAAAATAAAAAAAAATAAAAAAATAAGATCAAAAGAAAGAAAAGGATAATCAGAGAGAAAGAAGAAGAAATTAAAAGAAAGACGAATGAATAAAAAAGGAACGAAGAAAAAGAAAAACAATGGTGGACGGAGACAAATATTAAGTGTAAAATAAAGAAAAGAAAGAAGTAGATGATAACCAGTTAAAAAGACTCACACACACACACACACACACACACACACACACACACACACACGCACATACACACACACACACACACACACACACACACAACCGAGCACTTACATTATAATTCACAACAACATAAATCAGACACGATAAGAAGCAGATAACACAAAGGGGAACTATTACAGACGTTGACTCGACTCTCACCGTAACGATAGTATAATGGTTTGGGAAAGTGACGGTGGGGTAGGAGGCCGCCATGTAGGGTGCACTAACACCACCTTTCACCAGCATCTGTATAGTAGGTGTGAGTCCTCTCTTGAGATAATCAGGTCTGAAGCCATCCAATGACACCAGCAGTACAGGTCGATGCCCGAAATCCGCAGGGCACTGGTTGGAGTTCAGACGTTCGGGTAAGACGGGAGGTTTGTTATTATGCCCAGTGCCATTGCTAGCTAAGGTCACTGCTAATATCACTATGGTGAGTATCCCCAGTAGCACTACGCCGATCTGTAAGGGAGATGGGAAGAGGAGGAAGAGGTTGATACACTCGGTATGAAGGCGATAACGTGAAAGATTAGGCAACGTATAACTTTAACTTAACTCTATTCCCCTAAAGGTAGCGTTCGGGTGTTTACTTCTCAGGTGAAATGAACTGGGGTACGTAGTCTTCATGTGTTTCAATGTTAATATATATTAGGTTTGGTTAGTTTTGGTTATGTTGTATTACGTTTGACTGTGTTTAGACGAATTTGGTTAGTTTTGGTTACATCATATAAGTTAGGTTGACTATGTTAGAATAGTTAGATTAAACCAGGTTAAGTTTGGCTATGTTTGGTTAGTTTTGGCTATGTTATGTGTAGCTTGGGGTTTAGTTCGGCTATGTTAGGTTTGGTTTGGTATGGTTTGGCTATAGATCAAGAATATAAAGTTTGGCTGATTTGTTACCCTATTAGTTACTAACATTGTGGCAGCACGCACACACCCCACACCAACATTGTCACACACACACACACACACACACACACACACACACACACACACACCACACACACACACACACAATACACCACACATCCCTCCTCCACACACACACACACACACACACACACACACACACACACACACACACTCCCTCTCCTCTCACACACACACACACACACACACACACACACACACACACACACTCCTCTCCTCCTCACACACACACACACACACACTCACACCTCCTCTCCTCCTCCACACACACACACACACACACACTCACTCTCTCCTCTCCTCCTCACACACACACACATCTCTCCTCACACACACACACACACTCCTCCTCCACACACACACACACACACACACACACACACACACACACACACACTCCACTCACACACACACTCACACACACACACACACACCTCACACACACACACACAACACACACACACACACACACACACTCTCTCCTCCTCCTCACACACACACACACACACACTCCACTCCTCCTCCCTCCACACACACACACACACACACTCCACACACACACACCACTCCCTCACACACACACACACACACACACACACACCTCCTCCTCCCTCCTCACACACACACACACACCTCACTCTCCTCTCCTCCTCCACACACACACACACGCTCACTCTCCCTCCTCCTCCACACTCCTCCCCTCCTCCTCCACACACACACACACACACACACACACACACCCTCCTTCTCCTCCACACACACACACACTCACTCTTTCTCTCTCACACACACACACACACACACACACACACACACACACACCATCTGACAAAATAAAAAAATCAGGTTTCTCTCAACAACATACCACAGCGAGCTAAAATATACAGTACGCCACAATCACCCTTAATGAGGACTGTCTATCTTTTTCTGGTCTGTCTGTCTGTCTGTTTTTCTCTCTGTCTCTATCTTTTCCTGGTCTGTCTGTCTTCCTATCTCCTGAGAGACAACCACCAACGAAAAGTTCAAAATAGAGATAACGTTAGGTTAGGTTAGGTTAGGTTAAATTAATGTAAGTTAGGTTAGTGTTAGTGTTTATTAGGTTAGATTATAATTATCAACTAAAGTTAAGTTAAAGTGTACATTAGAGAAGGTAGTATTAAGTTAAATTAAGCTATATTTAGTTAAGCTTATCAGATTATATCATACTAGGTTAGGTTGTTATTAGGCTTGGTTTGGTTATATTAGGTTATGCAAGGTTAAGTTATATTATGTTAGATTGTATTGGTTAGGTTTAGGTTAGGTTTAGGTTAGGTTATATTAAAAAGAACAAACAAGAATATACTACTCACAACAAGTAAAGTGGATAGTCTTTTGTCCATCTCTGAAAATGAGGAAATAAATTATGTTTTCAGAAGGCGGCGACAGCTAGTAATGTGACACGTAAACATAAGATTGAGTCAGTGTTCGTAACGAGACCACGCCATGAATATATTATAACGTATAGTATGGCGTCTAATGGTGTGAGAACACAGTCATTAGAGCCGTTCTCATAATAACTATCAACCAGCATTGTATTAATTACCATCACCATTATTAACCACCATCACCACTATTAACCACCATCACCACTATTAACCACCATCACCACTATTAACCACCATCACCACTATTAACCACCAACATCACTATTAACCACCATCACCACTATTAACCACAATCACCACTTTTAACCACCATCACCATTATTAACCACCATCACCACTATTAACCACCATCACCACTATTAACCACCATCACCACTATTAACCACCATCACCATTATTAACCACCATCACCACTATTAACCACCATGGCCGAAATTAACCACCGTCACCACTATTAACCACCATCACCACTATTAACCACCATCACCATTATTAACCACCATCACCACTATTAACCACCATCACCACTATTAACCACCGTCATCACTATTAACCACCATCACCACTATTAACTAACCATCGCCAAAATTAACCAACATCACCATTATTGACAACCATCACCACTTTTAACCACCATCACCATTATTAACCACCATCACCACTATTAACCACCATCACCACTATTAACCACCATCACCACTATGAACCACCAACACCACTATTAACCATCTTACCTGTTAACGTTTACAGGTGAGCATCAAGAGTTGAAGGAGGTACGTACAGGTGAACGTCACAAGCGTCGCCAATAAACTGAAGGAACAGAGCACATCCCCTGAATTTATATAAGCTGGTAGTCTCCCCCATCCACCCCCTCCTTCCCACCTTCACCCCCCATCTCCTCCTTTCACTACTCCTCACTCTTTTCCTTCTCCTCACCTCCTCTCTTCATTGTCTTTTTCGTCTCCCCTCTCCTCCTCCTCCCCTCCTCTACATTCCTCCTTTCTCCCTTGCCTTCTTTCTATTCCTTTTTCCTCCTCCTCCTTTACCTGCCCTTCTTCTGCAGACATTTGTAACATAAAAGGAATCACCTATAGAGATCATCCACCCGCTCCTGTATCTTACTTCACCTGATGATTAAACACCTTTGTGATGTCACCTGGGAAATACCGGAATAAATTACACGTTAGCCTTACGCCATAACAAATGGTATTCCCTTATCTTGTACGGTACAGTTGTTTTAACCCCTTGAGGACGATGGTTTGATTATTTGAGGACGGTGATTTAACCCTTTGAGGACGATGATCTAACCCTCTGAGGACGATGATTTAACCCTTTGAAGGTGATGATCTAACCCTCTGAGGACGGTGATTTAACCCTTTGAAGGCGATGATCTAACCCTTTGAGGACGATGATTTAACCCTTTGAAGGCGATGATCTAACCCTTTGAGAACGGCGATTTAACCCTTTGAGGACGATGATCTAACCCTTTGAGAACGGTGATTTAACCCTTTGAAGGCGATGATCTAACCCTTTGAGGACGATGATCTAACCCTTTGAGAACGATGATTTAACCCTTTGAGGACGATGATTTAAAGGTTTATATCAGGGGTTTAAATGCGATACGATGCTCTTTTGTTGACCTTTTTTAACTATGTATTCAAGAGGTCTTTATAATATGTGTACATGAGGCGTTAATAGTGTACATGAGGCGTTAATAGTGTACATGAGGCGTTACTAGTGTACATGTACAGGAGACACTAAGTGCGTACAGGGGTTTTACTTGATAGTGTAAGCGTGTATAAGGGACTTACTTTATAGTGTAAGTGTGTATAAGGGACTTACTTTATAGTGTAAGTGTGTATAAGGGACTTACTTTATAGTGTAAGTGTGTATAAGGGACTTACTTTATAGTGTAAGTGTGTATAAGGGACTTACTTTATAGTGTAAGTGTGTATAAGGGACTTACTTGATAGTGTAAGTGTGTATAAGGGACTTACTTTATAGTGTAAGCGTGTATAAGGGACTTACTTTATAGTGTAAGTGTGTATAAGGGACTTACTTTATAGTGTAAGCGTGTATAAGGGACTTACTTTACTTTACAGTGTAAGTGTGTATAAGGGACTTACTTTATAGTGTAAGTGTGTATAAGGGACTTACTTTAAAGTATAAGGGTAAGTGTATTTTATAGTGTAAGGGGTATATGGACTTACTTTTATAGTGTAAGTGTGTATAAGGGACTTACTTGATAGTGTAAGTGTGTATAAGGGACTTACTTTATAGTGTAAGCGTGTATAAGGGACTTACTTTATAGTGTAAGTGTGTATAAGGGACTTACTTTATAGTGTAAGCGTGTATAAGGGACTTACTTTACAGTGTAAGTGTGTATAAGGGACTTACTTTATAGTGTAAGTGTGTATAAGGGACTTACTTTATAGTGTAAGTGTGTATAAGGGACTTACTTTATAGTGTAAGTGTGTATAAGGGACTTACTTTATAGTGTAAGTGTGTATAAGGGACTTACTTTATAGTGTAAGTGTGTATAAGGGACTTACTTTTTAGTGTAAGTGTGTATAAGGGACTTACTTTATAGTGTAAGTGTGTATAAGGGACTTACTTTATAGTGTAAGTGTGTATAAGGGACTTACTTTATAGTGTAAGTGTGTATAAGGGACTTACTTTATAGTGTAAGCGTGTATAAGGGACTTACTTTATAGTGTAAGTGTGTATAAGGGACTTACTTTATAGTGTAAGTGTGTATAAGGGACTTACTTTATAGTGTAAGTGTGTATAAGGGACTTACTTTATAGTGTAAGTGTGTATAAGGGACTTACTTTATAGTGTAAGTGTGTATAAGGGACTTACTTTATAGTGTAAGTGTGTATAAGGACTGAGGAGATGTGTTTGTCTCCCTCACCAATGTCAGTTTTATACAGGTTCTAGGAATTACCTTAAACGTTCAAATACACACCATTAATACACACACACACACACACTATTAACGCACACACACACACACACACACACACACACACACACACACACACACACGTGATACCCCCATGTTAAGAACATAAGAACATAAGAATGGAGGAAACTGCAGCGGGCCTATTGGCCCATACTGGGCAGTTCCGTTTACACCCAACCCCTATTGCTCATATGAGCATCCAACCTATGTTTGAAACAATTCAGGGTATTCGAGTTAATGATGATATTTGGTAACTTGTTCCATTCATCCACTACTCTGTTTCCAAACCAGTGTTTACCTATTTCACGCCTAAATCTAAATTTGTCTAATTTAAAACCATTGTTACGAGTTCGCTCCTGGTTGGATAGTTTGAGTACCTTTGTAATGTCCCTTTGTTTAGCCCTGCCTTCCACTTATACACCTCTATCAGGTGCCCCTCGCTCTACGTCTCTCAAGGGAGTGCAAATTAAGATGCTTTAACCTGTCTCTATACTCAAGGTTCCTAATGCCCGGATTAGTCTTGTCATTCCTCTGAATTCTTTCCAAGGATTCTATATCCATTCTGTAATACGGTGACCAGAACTGAACTGCGTAATCCAGGTGTGGTCTCACAAGAGCAAGATACAGTTTTAGGATGACCTCGCTAGTCTTGTAACTAACACTCCTTTGTATGAACCCAAGTTCTTTATTAGCCTTGTTACGAGCAAAAACACATTGTTTACTTGGCTTAAGATTCCTACTTATCATTACTCCTAAATCTCTCTCGCAGTCGGATTTCTCTATGGCATCGTTGTTCATCTGGTATCTGTTTTCCCTGTTTATATCTCCTATACTGAGTACTTTACATTTGTCCACGTTGAATTTCATCTGCCATTTTTCAGACCATTCGAAAAATTTGTTTAGGTCTTCCTGTAGTTTTGCCGAGTCCTCGTCGGATTTGATAACACGTCCTATTTTAGTGTCATCAGCAAATTTACTTATGTTGCTGTCAATGCCGATATCTATGTCGTTTATGTATATAATAAATAATAATGGTCCAAGTACTGAGCCTTGGGGAACTCCACTTGTGACGTTGCTCCAATGGGACTTAGTGCCGTTAATGCTCACTCTCTGTTTCCTGTCCTGTAATCACGCCCTAATCCATTTAAGGATGTCACCTTTGATGCCATAAGCTTCTACCTTTCTAATTAGTCTTTCGTGGGGGACTCTGTCGAAGGCTTTGCTAAAGTCGAGATATACCACATCATAATTGTGCCCCTCGTCCATCGATTCGAAAACTGATGAAAAGAATGTTAATAGATTAGTTAGGCAAGAACGTCCGCTTGTGAAGCCATGCTGGGAATCATTGATCAATCTGTGCTTCTCCAGGTGATTTCGAATAGAGTTTGAAATGATTGCTTCCAGAAATTTGCCTACTATTGATGTTAGACTGATTGGGCGGTAGTTAGAGGATAGTGATCTATCCCCCTTCTTGAAAATCGGTATAACATTCGCTATCCTCCAGGATTCTGGTACTACACCTGTTTTTAATGACATGTTAAACAACTTTGCTAAGGGCATACTAAGCTCTTCCTTACATTCCTTTAATACTCTGGCAAATATCTCATCGGGACCAGGTGACTTATTAGGCTTTAGTTTGTCTATTTGCTTACTAACATCGTTACTAGTCACTACTATCTCACTTACTTTGTTTTCTTCACTATCTCTGAATAGAGTTGGTGCCTCGGGTATCATGTTTAAATTTTCGGTGGTGAAAACTGTTGAAAAATATTTATTCAAATTATTGCTCATTTCTCCGTCGTTATCAGTGAGCTCGCCGAAGTCTGACCGTATTGGTCCAATCTTTTCTCGTGTTTTAGTTTGATACATTTGGTAGAATCCTTTGGGGTTTGTTTTCGCCTCCCTTGCTATCCTTACCTCATTATTCCTCTTTGCTTTCCTTATCTCGGTTTTAACCCTACTCGCCAATACCCTATAATAGTCCCGGAGGTG